ATTACAGACCTATCTCCCTCACTTGCTCGCTATGTAAAATTCTTGAAAAAATCATTCATTCAAAACTATTAACATTCTTTATAACTAATAATATCTTACCTGAATCTCAACATGGTTTTTTAAAGACTAAATCAGTAACTACAAACTTACTTGAGGCTCATTCTGATTGGACAAATGCTTTAGACTCTAAAATGAATGTTGATATTGTTTACTTTGATTTCACCAAAGCATTTGATAAGGTCTCTCACACATTACTTACTCAAAAATTAGAAAAAGTAGGTGTAAAAGGAGCTCTTCTTAAATGGATTAAAAACTTTTTATCTAATAGATCATTTAGAGTAAAAATTGAAGATACTTATTCCCAGTCTTATAAAATATCAAGTGGAGTGATTCAAGGCTCTGTCCTTGGTCCTTTACTTTTTTTATTTTATGTACATGATCTCCCTAATTTCTGTAATGTTCACAACGTTAATATTAAATTCTTTGCTGATGATTTAAAAGCATATATTTGTTATCAAAAATCTGAATCCACTATTTTTTTACAAAAATTTATTGATAATGTTTTTGAGTGGTCAGTAAAAAATGGGCTAGAAATATCATTGGAAAAATGTAAAGTACTACACTTAGGAAAATCTAATCCCTTTACAAACTATTCCTTTAATAATACTACTATTGAAAAAGTCATTAATTCCATTAGGGATCTAGGCATATACACTAATAAAAATCTTAAATGGACAGATCATATTTTAAAAATTACTCGACAAGCCTATGCTCGACTTTATACTCTTTTAAAAGCTATTAAATCTAACGATCCTGAATTCCTTATTAAAATGTACTGCTCATATGTTAGACCCATACTTGAATCATCTTCACAAATATTTAATCCTTATATACAGTCGTGGAAAAAAGTATGGAAGCGCTAGAAAATTTTTTCTTAATTCTTAATTTTTCAGTCAAAAAATACGTTCTATATATCAATCGAAAGCTCTATTCGTATCTCAGTTGACATGTTTCTGCATTTTTCATGAAAATGAAAATTGGCCGAGATAATCCGGATCTACCGGATATACCAAATCCCACTTTTTCGGAAAAATTTTTCGGAACAAATTTAACAAACCCAAATGATAAAGCATATTTTTCTGAGTATTTTCCACAAAACCGCTTTTAAATATCTTTTTCCGGTCCAGAGATATGATTTTTTGAAAATCGCATTTTTCCCTTAAAAATTGAATTTTTTGCAAAAATTGACGAAAAATGCCATTTTCAAAAAATCATATCTCTGCTCCGGAAAAAGATATTTCTAAGCGGTTTTGTGGAAAATACTCAGAAAAATATGCTTTATCATTTGGGTTTGTTAAATTTGTTCCGAAAAATTTTTCCGAAAAAGTGGGATTTGGTATATCCGGCAGATCCGGATTATCTCGGCCAATTTTCATTTTCATGAAAAATGCAGAAACATGTCAACTGAGATACGAATAGAGCTTTCGATTGATATATAGAACGTATTTTTTGACTGAAAAATTAAGAATTAGGAAAAAATTTTCTAGCGCTTCCATACTTTTTTCCACGACTGTAAAACAAGATATAAATAAATTGGAAAATGTTCAAAAAGCAGCACTTAAGGCCATATTTCATAGATCACTTCGTCATAAATATACAGAAAATCTTAATTATGAAAACTTATTAATCATGTTCAAGTTAAAAACGTTAAAGGATAGACGACTTATACTGGACTTAATCTGCTATCATAAAATAATTTACGGCCTAATCAAAATAAATAAACAATACTATCCCCAAATTTTATCAGGCATTACTCGAAAAAAATTTAAAATTAATAGTCAAATTGCTAACACTAATATTAAGCACCACTTCTTTTTTAGATAAAATGGCAAGACTCTATCCTAAATTACCACATGAAATATTAACATGTACTAAATTATCAACTTTCAGACAAAAATTACTTAATTTTGATATCTCCAAAATTATTTAATCATTATAGACAGAACTTCGACATTTTTTTTTAATTTATATATTATTTATTAGAAAAACACATACAAGTTTATTGTTTTTACACATTAAGGCTTATATATTGTTGGAGGTTTTATTTTTATAACATAATTTTGTATTGACATTTTTTTTGTAATTTTATATGACATTTTTTTTGTTGCGTGAAATTGTTATTTTTCACGTATTTAAATAAAATAAAATAAATAAATAAATAAAATAAATTTTTTTCTAGTTAATTACTAAAAGAAGGGGAAATGTTGTTTATGTGACTGGTTTTCTCATACCAAAAGGAAATATGGAACAAATTTATTGGCTTTATGGATTTACTGAAGAAATTTTATCTAATTTGTTAAAACAGCCAGTTAAATTAGAACTTCAATTTATTCGAAGTGCTGATGATTTAGCTGTGGAATATTTTGTTCAGCCAACCACCACACCTTAATCGTTTCATTTTTATAGTTAGAAATTATATGTTACTTTCAATCAACCCCTCAATGTTATAAAAATTTAAACCCCGAAAATTATAGTAGTTACTGTTTAGGCCGAAAATTGTCCTAAGTCTTGCTCATAAAGTTTTTCGAGATTTATTTTATGCATTTATAAAATTAGGAATTTATAATATTATTTAAAAACTACTAAAAATTAGACTCATTATTATATTTTCTATCTATCTATATATTTTTTCATATAATTTAGTCTTTATTTTTTGTATTATCATCTCCTCCCCCACCCTTATTTCCTTCTGATACATCTAATTGTTTTCCTAGATATTCCCAATTATGTACCATTAATTTTTGAATTGCTAAAAGATAATTTAAATAACAAAACTTATTTTAAAAAACCTAAAAGTGCATGATATCTAACATTTGGATCTTCAGCACTTAACAATTTCATTACCGCTTGTTTGCCTTGATATTGCTCGACAATACTTCAACAAAAAAATAAAAATTATTTAAAAATATTTTTTACTCTTTTCCACGTGGAAAATGTCTGACATATTCTCCAACATCATGAGCAGCAACACAAAGTACCAAAACATCACTAGAATCGAGTAATCGTATTAATATTCTAAAAAATATTTAAATTTTTTTATTTAAAAATTAAAAAAACTTTATTAATTCAAAATTCTTTTCATTAAATCTCTGAGCGTTTTCTCGCCAAAATTTTTCTGATTTATGTACTGGACTCCAATGAAGTCTACCAGAACGAATTTCAGTACAATATTCGTCAAATGAACTCAAATCTTGAACAGAAGTATGTAAACGTTCAGAAAGAAATTCAATATCTTCCAACTAAAAAAGATTTTTTATAATTAAAATTGGGCTGGTATTGAAACAATTTCAGTCATAAAAGATTTAAAAAATTAACCAAATCTTCATCATCAAATTTTTTAGCATCCATTAATTCCAATGTTTTTAAAGTTTTACATTGAACCATTTGAAGTGCCGACTCCCTAACAAGTTCTCTATTATCTATTTTCTCCAATAAATTTCGAAAAGTATGTAAAATAATTCTGACAACCTTTTCCTTTAAAAAAATAAATTAAAAATTAAATTAATTTTTAAAAACAAACTTTTGAACATTCAGAAAGAATATCCCCCAAAGTTTGAATTACTCCCATACTTTGGATATAACGAGCAATTTTACAGTCAAAAGATAAACACCAAAGACAAAAAATTAATTGATATTGAAGTTGAAAATTTGTTCTTCCATCCAAAGCTGTCAAAATACTTGGAACACCTTCACATTGAACAAATTCATTTCTATATTCTTCAATTCTAAGCATCATTTGTAAACACCTAACAGATGTATTTATATATTCATTAGACTAAAATTGACAAAAAATTTAAATTATTTTTTCCAAAACTTACAGTATTTCTTAATTCCATCCTCAAAAAATTAAAATAAGCATGAAGTTCCTGCCCTTCCATACGAACAGAACCATAACACGCCAATTTAGCAAAAATTGTAGACATCTTTTTAGTTAAATTAATTTTTTGTTTAAATTTCTAAAGAATACTTGATTAACAATAAAACCATCATTTCTAGTCAAAATTCCTTGAAACCACGACCAAATAGTTTTTCTTTGACGAGCAGCATATTCGTGAAATATTTCAACTCTAGACTTATCTTCCTTTAAAAAAATATAAAAATAATTTTTAATTAAAAAAAAGAAAAAAATACCTGTAATAAATCGTCAAAAATAGTTAAAATATAACGAATTAATTGTTCTTTTGTAATTTCGGTAACCAAATTAATTAAACATTTTGCAGTATTTAAACGGTCTTTATTTAATACTTCTGTCCGTTCTGCCTTACTTTTAGCTCCTTCCAATGCAACAATAAAATTATATTCATTTTGGGGAACAAGTTGTGAACGTAAATATGAAGTCCAATTTGGCTTATTTATTGGATTTCTGACTTCTGAAGCCTTTTTTGAATAAAAAATAAAAAAATATTAAAATTAAAAAAAACTTCTATTTGAATTTTGCTTGTTGCAGTTGTCATATCAACGGGGGTAACATGATGCCCGGCAGCAATTTCCTCAACCTGTTCACCCAAATTGCTATTTTGTTCCATAACCATTTTCTTTTAGACTTTTAATTAATGAAAAATAGAAAAATAAATTTAAATAACATAACAATTATTAAAACTTTTGTAAAAGTAAAAAAGGACCAAAAATTAAAGTAAAAAACTAATATAAAAATTGAGTCACTTAACTATTGTCCCACGCTATAATTATCAGAAAGAGACTCAATTTACTATTAACGACCAAAATTCGAACGAAGAAAATCGTTGCAGAATTTAATCATCAGAGAAATCCTATCGTCCAAATCAACCCCCCCCCCCCCCAACATAACGGGAGGCTTCGCAAATCCCAGAACCAAAAAATTTAAACGGTATAAAAAACCTTTAATATATCGAGCATGTTTAATACATTTGTTTAAAAATTTACATTTTTTTGCAAAATTTCAATTAATTTAAAAATATTTATCAAGTTAAACTTTGTCTATATTTGCATGTTTCTATTTGTTTCCTTCCACACATAGGACATATTCCTTTTTGATAAGCACAATCTTGACAATAATTTGCAGCGATGTGATGAGTCATCTTTTTACAAACTCTGCATCTTTTAAATTCCCCAACGCCCGGCTTAAATTTTTGTTTTGAACTGAGAAATTTATTTTCGTTGGTTAATCTTTGTGATCCACTTGCATTTTTGTCGACATGGACAGTTGCTAATTTAGATATTTTGTTTGTACCTAAAAATAAATTAAATTGATGTTACATAAATCACAAAACTTACATTTTTCACAAACCATTGCAAAAATCTTAAAAAAATAACAAAAAATATTAATTTTTGATTAAAAATATTTTCAAGTATTTTTAAATGAATAAACATAATTAAAGTCTAAAAAAAATTACGAGAAATATTTATTTTTAAATTTTAAAATAACAAAATGAAAGCGGAAACCAAAACTTTTCAAATTCATTTTTAGGCAAATCAAAACAATTTTTTTAAAAAAATATTTAAAATAACAAAAACTTATTTTTTTTCGTCAAAATGAGATTAATTCTCAATTTACTATATATCAAAAATTCTTTTTTGTTTGCTTTATTCACATTCATCTTCATCCCTTCCTTTCTTATCAACTTTATTTAATTTAATTAAATCGTCAATTCGAAGAATTGTAATTGCTGCTTCTGTTGCAAATTTTAAACTTTTTACTTTACTAATTAACGGTTCAAATATTCCGGCATCTTTATTTTGACGAACAATTCCTTCAACTAAATCAAGTCCAGACCTTTTCAAAAAAAATATTTTTTAATAAAAAAATTAAAAACCATTTCAAATCCTCAAATTTCTTATCATTTTGACTCTTATTATGAAAAGCACGAAGTTTTGCAAGTAAAGAAATTGCATCTTGTGCTGCATTTGTCGCCAAAGTTTTAGGAATTACTAACAAAGCATCAGCAAATGCTGCTACAGCTAATTGTTCTCTGCTTGTCTTTAAATATTTTTTTAAAATAAGAAAATAAATATTCAGAAAAAACCAAATTAAGAGCAAAATTCTCCAAATAGACATCAAGTGCTGTTTCAACAGCTCCACCACCAACTACTAATTTCTTCCCTTCAAGAACTCGTTTAACAACACATAAGGCATCATGCACACTTCTTTCCATTTCGTCTAACATAACATCATTTGCACCCCTAAAAATTAAATTTTCTTAGAGAAAGTTATTGAATTGTTATTTCTTACAATACTGAAGACACTGGAGTGCTCTCAAAGTGTTAAAATATTTACTAACCTCAAAATAATCGAAGCACAAGATTTAGCTTTTGTTCCTTTAATTAAAATTAATTCATCATCAGAAACTCGTTCTTGAACAACTTCTTCAGCATTTCCAAGTAAAGAACTCTCAAAAAGTTCATCCCCTTCAAGTGTAGCAAGAGAAGAAGTTAAAGTCGCTGTAAATTAATCTTTCATTAAAAATTAATTTTTAAAAATAAAAATACCTCCTGTACCCTTAGCAATTCGTTTCAAATCATTTTTAGCACATCGTCTCACAGCCATGGCCCCAGCCTCAACAAATTGTTTAAGACATAAATCATCAATACCTCCAGTTGTCAAAATAACATTTGCTCCAGATTTTATTATTTTTTCAACTCTTCTTTTTGTTATTTCCAATTCCCTTGAAGTATATTTATAAAAATAAAAAAAAATATTTAAAAAAATACTCTCGTCGAATAGCTTCCAATTTTGATGGATCCTCAACAACAACAGAAATGCCAAGATGCATTTTAGTTTTTTGAAGAGAAAAATCTAGACAAGCAATTTTTGCGTTTAATATCTTTCTTGGCATAGCTGAAAATAAAAAAACTTTTTCCAATATAAAAATTAAAATCCAAACCTTCACTTGCTCTAGTACAATTAAGAGCATAACCTTTAATAAGCAAACTTTCTTTGCTAGACTGCCCACGCGCTTTTAGAACATTTATTGTATTAATAGGATATGTAACTTTGCCAGATCTGTCAGTTCGTTCAACAGCCATTGCCGCGTCAATACACATTTCAGCGAAGAAATCAGATTCACTATTAAATTTAATGTTTCAATCAATGTGTAAAAAAGGAATAATGTAAAAAATCAACTCACGATCCAATAAGTTTAGAAGATATTGAAGTTTTTGCTGTTTTAATAATTAATCCTTTGTCTAATTCCTCGACAGGAAAAGAGAGATTTTCAGTCATGTAACGAATAGCTTCTTTACAAGCCAAACGATATCCATTAATTATATTTGTTGGATGAATCTTCTTTTGAACCAATTCATCTGCTGCCCTCAAAAGTTCAGCTGCAACAACAACGACAGAAGTAGTTCCATCTCCAACCTTTAAATTGTAAAATTTCAAATCAACCAAAAATATTTAAAAACCTCTTCATCTTGTAATTGTGCCAAATCAACAAGTATTTTGCCAGCAGGATGCTCAACCTCAAGAAGTTTTAAAATTGTAGCTCCATCATTAGTAACGGTTACATCCTTTATAAAAATTGAATAGAAAATAAAATTATAAAATAATCCATACTCCAACATCGTCCACAAGCATTTTATCAAGTCCAACAGGACCTAATGATGATTTGACAACATTTGAGATTGCAACAGCGGCCATAACTAAAAATAAAGAAAAAAATAAATATCTAATTATTAAAATAAAAATACCATTTTGTGTTCGAATTGATTGACCTGTTGTACGCTTTCCATGAAGAGCTAAAATTGCTTCACCAGGACTTGCCATCTTCCAATTAACGTGAAAAATTTATTTTATAACAAATATTAAGCTTGTCAAATTGCTGAAAAGTACGTGAAAAAAAATTATATACTTGCTAACTACAAAAAGAAGAATAAAATTTTAATGTGACGAATTGCCCGTGTTTACCAAAAGTGACCTTTTTGGGAATGACCATTTATGGAATTTTTGTCAAAAATGGTATTTGACAAAATGGTACACGACAGAATGGTACATAGGCCAAAATGGTAAAGGTACTATATTAATGTATACTACGGTAATTAGCCCGAAACAAGCTTAATGAAGGGAATTCTGTTACCTTCATCTAAATTTTTGACATTTCATTTATTTTATAGTTAATTTTAGTTAAATTATTTTTTGACATAAAAAAAGATGAATGCATTTAAATTACAAAAGAAATTTTGTAATTTTTTATTCCTTCCAAATATTACTCGATCATTCTCAGTTCAGCCTGCTGAAGTTAAAAAATCAGATGTAAACATTAGCAAAGAGGTTATTTTAAAATTTTATTTTTTATTTTATTCTTTTAGAGTTTAATTAAAATGAGAAAAGAAACTGGCTATAGTTATGCAAAATGTCGAAAAGCTTTGGCTAAATTTGGGGAACAAAATTATAGTGAAGCACTTCGTTGGATAAAAGAAGTAGCTGTTAAAGAAGGATGGGAAAAAGCGGCAAAGTATCCAAAAATAAATAAATATTTAAATAATTAATTGAATTTAAAGGTTAAGTGATAGAAATGCTTCTCAAGGATTATGTGCTTTAATTACTGGAAAAAATATTGCAGCATTAATTGAATTAAATTGTGAGACTGATTTTGTTGCAAAAAATGATGAATTTCGGGGATTGGTATTTTTTTAATTTTCTAAATTCCTTCCTTAACGATCACTTAAAAATTTTTGTTTTATGTTTTCTTTTTTACAGGCTCATCAACTTACTACTGCTCTTTTTAATCACGCCGAAAATATTTTAAATTCAAAATCTGATTACAAAATCAATGGAGAATTAAATTCCTTGGAAGTTTGTAAGTTTTTTTGGTTAAATTTTGGCTATATACAGGACATGCGTTCCACAGCAATATTTTAGTCTTATGGAAGTATATGCGTCCCAAAAAAGCCTCATTTTTAATATAAAAATCATAAATTTTTAGCAACAAATGAAATAAAACTTCCCAATGGTCATTCTTTTGAGGAATTAATTGTATCTTCTATTGGAAAATTAGGAGAAAAAATATCTTTGAATTGTGCCAAAATATTTTATACTTCGCCTGAATTTAATATTTTTGGACATTCACATCCAAATGGTTTGATAGAAATTCTTTTAAAATTTAAATAATTTTTTAAAGAAAAATTTGGTAATGTTGAAATGGGACGATTTATTTCAATTGTGACAATGAAAAGAAGGGAAGAAAATTCGGGATTTCCGATTGAAAAATTGGGTCGCCAAATTTGTCATCATATTATTGGAATGGTGCCCGAAACATTAGGAGAACCTGATGAAAATAAAGAATTAAATGAAGTTAAAGAAATTTCAGAGAATGAGGAAAAGATGGATGATGATGAGAGTGGTGATTCTTCTGGAAATGTAAAAATATTTCTTTAATTTGGGGTGTTAACATTCATAGAATTTAATTTGAATTAAAACTAAATCGAATATTAATACTTTACATTTTTATCCCCTTTCATTTGGCCCATTCTAATAATTTTAATTATTTTTAGACAACCAAAATTGATGAAAATGAATCTCAATTGATGCGGCAGGCTTTTATGCTTAATCCTCGCCAAACAGTTTTTGAATATCTTGACTATCATGGGGCAGATGTTAAAGATTTTTTGCGTTTAGAATTGGGGCAATCGAATGAATAAAAAGAAGAAAAGTTGTTTTTGTTAATTTTAAAAGTAAATTATTTAATAGGATTGTAAAAATATTTTTGGAATAAAATATTTTCAAAAATTTAATCAAAATAATCTTCCAAGTCAATATTTGGATCAAGTAATTTATCCTCAATTTGAGAAATGTCTATTTGGTCTAATATTAAATTTTCCATAACCTCTTCCATTTCCGTTTCACCAATTAAAACAGCTCCTTGAATTCGATGATTTTTTGTTATAACTTTAATATATTCAACATTTTCTGTTATTCTATAATTTATTTCAAAAGGTTTTTCCAATTTTTCAGCAGAAAAATCACCGAGAAGAACAACCTTAAAAAAGAATATTTTGTAAAAATAATTAAAAAATTTTTTATTACTTTGTAACCAAAAAATTCTGTCACATGTGTAAAAATATCAAAAGCAATGTCAGGTAATAGATTGTCAATTAAAATAGCGCGGGCGCAGTAAATACCCATTTGTCTAGCCTGTGTCCAAAGTCTAATCTAAAAAAGCTTTTTTCAAATTATTTAATCAAAGAGAAAAACATGTTTCCAATGTGAACGTTCTTCAGTCCATCTTGGAGTACAAACATCTCCAGCAGCAAAAACATTTGGAATATTTGTTCTAAAAAATTGTAATTTACAAGAAAAAATTCTTTAAAATACCTCATATGTTCATCAATTAAAATTCCATAATCTTCAGCTAATTCTAATTCAGGGCAATCTCTTTTCCAAATTTTTGTATTTGGCACAACACCCGTAGCTTCAATTATTAAATCACATCCAATATATTTTCCATCAGTTAAATTAACAAATAATTTCCAATCAGAATTTTTAGAGAAATAATTAGGTAATTCATATTCTTTTAATTTATCAGGTTTTGAATTAAAAACAGAATTTAATTCAATTTCGTTTAAAATAAATAATTTTCTCGAATCCTTAAAAAATAAAAAAGAAATTCTCTAATATTTTAAATACTTAATTACTAGAGATCGAGATTTTTGAAAAGCCTAGGCCTGTTCCTGGACTCTGGGTTTGATTTATTGACCTAGGTCCAGGAAAAACCCAGGCCTCGGTCCAGACTGGATCTCCATTAATTACCTTATTTGAATGTTTTAATGCAAGTTTAGCTATCCAATGAGGGCCCAATGCTGAACCAGAATACTCAGAATTGTCTTTCTCTTGTTCATTATTTTCATTGACTAAAGTAATTTTATCATAAATTATTTCAGAATTAATTTCTTTATTTTCTTCTTTTTCATTTAATTTTGGTTCAAAAAATTTTGCAGCAGCCATATCTATAAATTTTAATAATTTAATTAAAAATATTTAAACACCAAAATATGTTGCAGAAATATGGCTATGTCTAAATACCCAAATAACTTCTATATTTTTTAATTTAAATCTAAATAAAAAATAAAATTTAAAGAAATATTTTTCAAAAATTTTTCACGCTAATTCTGAAGCAATTCCACCATTTCCAAAAATTAAAACACGTCGAGAATTAGAAAGTGCCTCTTTAAGATCATTAATTGTTTGAGTATCACGAAGTCGAATAATTAAAGGATTTGATTGAATTGTTTGTTTAGGAGAGGCGCCTGTAGCAATTGCTAATTTTTTGTAAGAAATAATCTTTCCGCTTTTTAGGACTAGCTTCTAAACAAAAAATTTTTTCTTTAAATTTTTAGATAAAGATAACCTTTTCTGTAGGTATCCATTTATTTACTTCATCATTTAAACAAGTTATTCTTTTAGATTCTTTGAATATATTGGAATTTAAAGATTTAATATCAAAAGATGTCGAGATTTGTCCAACCTAAAAATTTTTAAAAATAAAAAAAATTTTTTTTTAAAAACCTTTTTAATATTTACTGCTCGCTTTATATATCCACTAACACCACTAACAAAAATTATAGAATGATCTGAAGTACCCGGAACTTCTTCACTGTTCAATAATTCATTTAACTCATCCACTATACACACACCACAAACTCCACCACCAACCACAACATAATCCGCTGATAAAAAGTTCATAGTTAAGGCCTAAAATGGAAATAGAAGTCTTGTGAAGTTTAAAAAATAAATTTACCCAATTTGTCATTTTATGTATTGTGGGTCTTTTGTCCGTGGGTATTCTGTCGTGAGGTTTTCTGTCTTTAGGTCTTTTGTCACTTCGCCTAAAATTCTTAAGTTCTGTATATTTTTTTCTCATTTCCAATTTTAGTCTGTAGGATTTACCAATGCTGCGATTAGCAAAAATCGGACGGATTTCGGAAGCCTTGACATTTTTTCTATCGACAAAAATCTTTAAATTTTCATTTATTTTAGATAAACTTTATAGTGAAAAATATTTTATTTCAATGTCCCATCGAAAGTTTTCTGCTCCTAGACATGGTTCTATGGGATTCACTCCCAAGAAACGGTCAAAACGACATGTTGGAAAGTGTAAGGCTTTTCCTAAGGATGATCCTTCCAAGCCTATTCACTTAACTGCTTTTATTGGCTACAAGGCTGGAATGACGCATATTGTTCGTGATGTTGATAAGATTGGATCAAAAGTGCATAAGAAGGAAGTTGTTGAAGCCGTAACAATTATTGAAACTCCACCTATGGTCATTGTTGGCGTTGTTGGTTATATTGAAACTCCACGTGGCCCTCGACCTCTAAAGGCTGTCTTTGCCGAGCATCTGAGCGAGGACTGCAAACGCCGTTTTTACAAAAACTGGTTTTATTTATTTTTTAATTTTAAAAAATAAAATCTTTAGGTACAAATGTAAAAAGAAGGCATTTACTAAATATGCAAAGAAATGGCAGGATGAAGATGGTCAAAAGTCTATCGAAGCGGATCTGAACAAAATTAAGAAGTATTGCGCTTATGTTTGAGTTATCGCACATACTCAGGTTTGAAATTTCTTTTTGGATTATTTTGTCATTTTATTTACATTAGATGAAGCTAATGAAACACCGCAACAAAAAAGCCAACATCATGGAGATTCAAATAAATGGTGGAACTATTGCCGAAAAAGTTGATTGGGCTCGTGAACATTTTGAAAAGCAAATTCCGGTGGATCAAGTTTTCGAACAAGACGAAATGATTGGATGTATAGGTGTCACGAAGGGAAAAGGTTTCAAGGGTGTGACTAGTCGTTGGCATACAAAAAAGCTCCCTCGTAAGACGCACAAAGGACTTCGAAAGGTTCCTTCTTGTGTTTTTCATCATGCCTTTATTTTTTTAGGTTGCTTGTATTGGTGCTTGGCATCCTTCGAGAGTTCAGTTTACGGTTGCTCGCGCTGGACAAAAGGGATATCATCATCGAACAGAAATTAACAAAAAGATCTATCGTATTGGAAAATCTTGTTTGACACCTGAAGGGAAAAAGAATGGTTCTACGGATTTTGATACTACGGAAAAGACGATTAATCCAATGGTTTGTATTTATAAATATATACTATTTTTAAACAAACATTTTCAATTAAGGGAGGATTTCCCCATTATGGACTTGTTAATCAAGACTTCGTTATGATCCGAGGCTGTTGTGTTGGTCCGAAGAAACGTCCGATCACTCTGCGAAAGAGCCTTATAACCCAAACGAAGCGTTTCGCTTTTGAGAAAATTGATCTTAAATGGATTGATACAAGCTCTAAATTTGGACATGGTCGATTCCAGACAAGTGCTGAAAAGAAAGCTTTTATGGGCAAACTTAAGAAAGACTTTTTAGCCGAAACAACCGTCAGTTAAGTAAAAATAAATGTTAATTATTTGTGTTAATCGCTGCAAATGTTCTTTGTTTTTGGATAAAAATTGTTGATTTTTATGGTTGTTTATTATCTTGTTTTATCTCTAAATATTTCTTTTCCGACATAATTTGACTTAAATTAATTTAAATAATTAGTGGATGACTGTAACGTTGGGTCATTTTCTTCAAGAATCTATAGGTAAATTAAAAAACGTAAAACAAATTTATAAAGTAGGGATTGAAAAGTTGATTGCTTTTCACATTTTATAAATTTGTTTTACCTTCATCAAAAAATCCTTTATTTACTGTAAGGATCGACTGTAGTTATTGAGCTTAAAGACGAGACAGCTATAGAAGGGAAAGTTGTTTTTGTAGAACCAAAATCATTAAACACTGAATTATCTAATATTGTTGTATATAGAAGAGGAATTAAAAAATTAAAAGCTCTTTCTCTTAAAACTTTATTTATAAAGGTTAGCTAGAATTTTTTTGAAATATTTAAATTTATTTAAGGGTCGCTACATTCGTTTTATTCATTTTGAGGGTTATCAACCTGTTTTAAATTTATTAAAGAAATCTTTACGAAAGAAATAAAAACAACAATTGAATAAATGTTGATGTTTGTTTTATTATTTTTTCTACAAATTTCATTAATTGCCTCAAACTCAATACGTCAAAATCGATGTGAATTAAAATTGGTGGCTGATTATATTTTTTACAGAGATATTGGCAATAGAAATTATGCAAATGCTGCTAGATATCTGGTATATTTTTTGTTTAAATTAGCTGTCAATTTCCTTGGGGGAATGAGATCCTTCCAGTAATAGATTATCTTTTTTATTGTAAACATGCATCCGAACTATCTTTCCTAGTCGCTCGTTATTTCTTTAAAAATTAAATTAATGAAGGCATTATGTGAAATTATAAAAAATTTTTTCTTTAATTTAGATAAATTTAATTGAAAGAGTTAATGGAATATTTTCGCCTATTGAATGGGGACTGGACATTAATGGTGATCGACTTTCAAATTTGGGTTTTGTTATTAAAGAAATGAAAATATTTGAGAAGCCTGAAGATTCTTCTTCCATTATTCATTTTAATTCTCCAATTCAATCTGATGTTAATGCTGTTGATATTTTAGATGTTTTAATTTAAAATTATTAAATATTTATAATTTATTTCTTTTTAGTCTTTTTCGGCTGAGGAGGGTACAAATTCGACATGTTTAACCATACTTATTACTGCAAAATCGTTACAATCTGGTGTTGTTGGATTGGCAAATGTTTGTTTTTTCTGTCTACAATTTTTTATAATTTTTTAGATTGGAGATCCTGACAGGAGGGGTGTTTGTGCAGTCAAAAAACTTAATAACAGCCACTATATGAATACAGGTGATATTATTAAAGAGTTTTTTACTGTTATGTATCTTTTCTCTTTACTTACCATAGAACCTAGCATTTTCACAAATCAGTTCTTCCTTTCCTCACTCACTCAATATATATTTTTTTATTGTATGTTCTAATATTTTTATCTATTTTAGCTCTCATTACTGTTCGACGAAGATCAGATTTAATGATTACACGGGTTGTTGATCTTGTGCTTGCACATGGTTATTTATTTATGTGAATTTCATAAAATTTTTCTAATTTATAGAACTTGGTCATTCTTGGGGTAGTATTCATGATGATGAAATGCAAGATGAATGTGTTCCAAAAAATTCAAGAGATGGACGTTTTGTTATGTGGGAAAGTGCAAATACTGGATATGATAAAAATAATTATCAATTTTCTTCATGTTCAATACGTTCAATTCATCGAGTACTTTATTCTCTTGCTCATCGTTGTTTTGTTGAAGAAAAGAAAGCTTTTTGTGGTAATGGAATATTAGAGGAAGGTGAACAATGTGATGGGGGTGCTCATTTTCAACATTTTGGTGCTAGAGATGATTGTTGTACTAAAGAATGTAAATTAAGATTAGGAGCCTTTTGTTCCCCAAGGTTATTTTTTCAATTGGGATTTTATTAATATAATTAATTTTAAGACATTCTGAATGTTGTTCACTAAATTGTACTTTTCTTAGCAAAGATGTTGTTTGCCATGCAGAAAAAAGTGATATGTGCAAGGCCGAAGCTAATTGCAGGTAATTTATTAATTTTTTTGATTAAGAGATTTTATAATCAAAAATTAAAGCTTTTAATATAAATGTTTCTTTTTCAGTGGATTTAGTGAAAAGTGTCCGAATCCAAAACCATTAGAGGATGGCACAAATTGCACAGATGGGGGAAAATGTTTAAATGGCGATTGTATTCCTTTTTGTCATTCAATTTCTTCTGATTTGATGCCTTGTCTTTGCGAGGATGGTTTTTACTAAATTTTTTATTTAAAAATTATTTTTTTAATGTTTTAGCTAAAATTGCTTGCCAACGTTGTTGCCGTTCAATTACTACAGGTATTTGTAGCCCAGTGGAGCCAGAACATTGGTTACAAGACAATTCTATGTGTATTTATGGGCATTGTATTAATGTATGTTTTAATTATTTGGTAAAAATGGGATATTTGGGGGGGGGGGCTAACCAGTTTTTGGATTATTTGACAGTTTCTTCAATTTTTTAAATTATTTTTTAGAAAGTGTGTGTAAAAGAGACAACAGACTCAAGCCCAATTTGGCGTTTTTTTCGAAATTTTAATGGACGAGAACAACGTAAAAATATATTTTTTACTTATTTAAAATTCCTTAAAATTTAATAGGAAAATTTCTTGCCGATTATATAGTTTTTATTGTTGTTGCTGTTTCTTTAATGATTTGGTGTCCTTGTGGAGCTCTTATTGTTTATAAAGTAAAATTTAATTTCTTTTAAGAAAATTTTCTAATATTTTTAGGACAGACAAGAACAAAATGAATTAATTCAAAAACGTTTAGCAGCACAAAAGAATGTACAAATTCTTAATAATGAATCATCTAATAATAATTCTAAACAGTCATTTAATAAAACTCCTAAACGAAGTTATTCAATAAATGAAATGACAACAAATTCAGCAATTGAAGAAGATAAAATTAAACCTTCACATTCATCAATAGCTCTTTTAAGATTGAAAAATGAAGATGATATTAAAGAAAATATTTTTAATTCGAGGGCAAGACATAGAAATGAATGGAAAACAAAAAATGGTAATGAAAGAGAGACAAGTCTTTAAATATTTAATTTTTTAATTTAAAAATTTATTTATTTTTCAATACTTTGACCTATATAGGGGAGGGAATTTATTGTTATTTTTATAATGCCTTAAATGATTTTATTTTTATTCATTATCTCGTTGATTTGACTTTTTTTTCTTATTTATCTTCACTTAATGTTCTCATCACCTCAATAGAAAGAAAAGGGTATATTTAAAATGCTGGTATATTTAAATGCTTTCCTATTGTTTATTTTTTTGTTTATTGTTATTTAATTATTTTTTAAATTTATAATAAAAATTTTAAATTAATTTTAAATTAACTTCAATAAATTATTTTGACCACTCTTAAATGTTTTTTTTCCTTTTCGCACAAATCGCTATTCAGGAATGTAAACAAATTGACCGGCTTTTGTCACTTGTTTTAGGAACCCACACAAGTAAATGGTCAATGAAATTTAGATTCGGGATGTTGAGGGGGGAGGTTAAAAGAGAGGAAGGAGGGGGAGTTTTTTATTTATTGTTTTCTTGGCTAAATGAAGTAGTTGAGAGAGAAAACTTTTAAAATCAATTTATATTCCTACCGGTGTTCATTGTTAAATTTTAATTAAAAATTTGGAGAAAAATTGAGAGAAGAATTGTTTCAATTTAATTAAAATTTTAATTGGAGCAAAGAAAAAAAGATGGAATTAATAACAAATATTTTTGGATTTTATTTTACTTTATTTTTCAATTGTGTCTCTTTCTTAGCATCACAAAATTACGATTCAATTGTATTAAATGAAGTAAATAGAACAGACGAGAAAGAAAATTTAACAAAAGAAGAATCAAATAATAATAAAATTTTAACATTTAAAGAAGAACCAGCTTGGTTACGTTCTGGTTATTTTAATTAAATTAATAATTATTTTTGTGATTAGGAAAGTTTCAAGGGGATATTGATGGAGTTGATGAATTATTACTTAAGCAGGTATAGAAATTGTGTATAATAGTGGTCGAGCGGGGTCTGGACCGAGGCCTGGATTTTTCCTGTACCCTGAGTCCAGACCCAGGCATTTTTTGACCTTCCTGGGTTTTTCCTGGACTACAGGCCCAGGATCCGGCCCATGTCAATAAATCAAACCCAGGTTTTCAAAAATCTCGATCACTAGTGTATAAACTTTCAACACATATAAACTTTCAACCTTTATAATTATGTTACACACTATACATATTTTAGTTATCAGATCCAAATATTCAATTTAATGCTTTAAAGAATCATCAATTAATATGGTTATTGAAAGATTTCCTTTTTATAAAAAATATTTTAAAGGCCAAACGGCGTTGTTCCCTATGAATTGGATGAGGCTTTTTGTAAATTATAATTATTTTTAAATTATTAAATTAATCTATTTAGCAATTAGTGAAGTTAAACTTTTACAAAAAGCTTTTAGAATTTATCGACGGTAGTTGATAGAAGAAAATATATTTTTTAAATTTTATTTTAAGGCGTACTTTTGGATGTATCCATTTCAAGCCTCGAAATTTTGAGAATGATTATTTAAATATTGTAAGGGGTAATGGGTAAGAAAAAGAGATGTGAATTCTGAAAACTTTAAATAAATTGTTTGTAGATGTTATTCTCAAGTTGGGAAAACTGGTGGTAAACAAGAACTTTCATTGGGACAAGGATGTTTATTTAATGAAACTGTAAGGAAGGAAAGGGAGGGAGGGGAAGAAATAAAATAAATTAGGTATTTCGGTGGTGGTTATTTTCTTTTTTAAACTCCTGTTAGTCCCCACAATCCCCACAATTCAGAGGTCAGTCGGAATTCCGACTTCCGATGTTTATTTCCAGTTCCGATTTCTGAGCCATTTTCGATTTCCGTCAGTTCCGATTTTCGGCACTTTCGTCATTTCCGACCGACCTTTGGTACAATTTCCCAAGTACACAGATTAATAAAAAAAATATTTTTTAAAAAGATAATTCACGAATTAATGCATTCATTGGGTTTTTGGCACGAACATAGTAGAGCAGACAGAGATAATCATATAATAATTCGTTGGGAGAATATATTGCCTGGTTTAGATTCACAATTTGATATTGTTAGTTAAAAGAATATTTTTTTCTAAAAATTATTTTTTTCTTTTTCTTTTAATGTTTCTTCTGCTATACAAGATACTTTAAATGAGCCATATGATTATAAGTAAGGAATATTTTTAAATAAAAATAATTTTAAATTTAAATAGATCAATTATGCATTACGGCTCTTCAGCATTTAGTAAAAATGGAAAAAATACTTTGGAAGCTGTAATTAATGATGTAAATTTTGAAAAGAGAAAATAAAAATAAATTTAATTTTTAAAAGTTTACAAATATAATTGGGACATCTTTTGAATTGAGTGAATTAGATATAGAAAAAATAATGAAATTATATAATTGTAATAAACAAAAGAAAGGAAATAGTAATTATTTAATTAAAAAAAGGTTTTTTTAATCAATTAAAAGAAATTTTTTGAAAATTTTTTTAGAAAAATAAATACTAATTATCAAGAAAATATTGAAAATAAATTTAAAAAGAAATTAAGAAAAAAATTAAAAGAAGAAAAAGAAAATAATAATTATTTATTAAAAGAAGAAGAACAGAAAGGTTTTTACTAAATTAATTTTTTAATTAAAATATTTATTAAAAAAAGAATGTACTGATTATTTTGTTGATTGTAACCAATTTATTGACTATTGTAGAAGAATATCTTTTTATTTTATTATGAGAACATATTGTCCATTTACTTGTGGAAAATGTAAAAATAAATAAAAATTCTAATTTAATTTATTTATTGCCATTTATTTTTAAATAAAAGTAAATATATTTATTTGTTTAAAAAATTTGAATTATTATAATTAGAGAGAGACCGGATTGGAAATGTCAACGAGAATTTAGATGATATCTTGAAGAATATCGATCTCAATCGAGATTTTTGTTCAAGATCCCGTCTCGGGTCTCTAACTATAATATAATAATATTCAGTCAAAACCGATAATTTTATAATAATCAGAAAAAACTTTTTGGGAACATTAAAATTATATTTAATTAAAAAATGGGTATTAACATATTTTTGACTAGAAACATTTAAAGACTAGCAATGATTAAAAAACAAACATTTTCTTTTAAAGATGCGTGTCCTGTTAAAAAACATTTTAAATAAAATTTTTTAAATTCATTTTATTTACCTCATATCCCCATCTATTGGGAGCATTTGTTCGATTTCCTCCATTATAATTATTTGTTGAAGTAAATCTCCCTCCATCAGATCTTTTTTATTTAAATTAATTAAAATTTATTCTTTATTTATTTAAATACCTTCCTCCTCCTCCTCCTCCTCCAACTCCATAACGTTTATTAATATAATTATTATTTCCTCCTCCTCCACCACTTGTATATCCATAATTTCCCCCATTTCCATTATTATTTGCCCCAATATTTGTTGAATAACGGGATGAAGGCCCTCCTCCAACAGAATTTAAATTATCTTTCCCTGTTATTTTTTGATTTCCTCCACGAAATAATGATTTTATACATTCAATTGGTGAACGAGGACGTTTAAATTCTTCTTCCAATAAACTTTAAAGAAATATATTTACGTATAATTATCTTAATTTTACAAAAAAGCTTGTCTATTACATATGTGTACCCATTCTAATTTGATATTAAAATGGAAAATTTTGTTGGAGAATATTTAATAAAGTTGGATTTTATAATGGGAGGGGGGATATCGCTTAAATAGCACCACTCGATTGTATCTAGTATCTTATTTTTCTATTAAAGATTTGTATAAATTTCTGCTAAACACTTTATCGAGGTTGGCGGACCCTACTCTCTTAACAAAAAATATCCTCACATATTAGCACTTTGCTTTCTCGAATTTGGAACAGATTCAGGTCCCAATCTAACTTCTGTTGTTTTACGTCTACCCAAATTTAAAAGGCCTGCACTTCCTCTTTTTTTATTATTTAAATTAACATCATAATCATATTCTCGATTTGCTTAAAAAAGGGAAATAAAATATACTTTTTTGTTAAAATTTATTTATAAAGTGCTCTAAATTAAAAGTGCCTGAAGGGACAGAAGAATCCAAATAATTAAATTGTTGTTGATAGGAAGGCAAAATGGGTGCAGCCCCTCCATGCATAATTCCAGGTAAATGATCAGAAGAACCTCCATACCGACGTGAATAAGAACTTCCAATTCTTGAAAATTCTTGATTATTATAATTTTGATGTTCATCCAAAGAATGGCTATTTAAATATCCTTTATCAACAGATTGATGTCTACGTAGACGACCTAGATAAAATTAAGTGCAAAAAATTGGGGAAAAAATGTGAAAATTAAAAAAATATTTTTTTTGTTAAAAGGAAAGGGAAAGGAAAGTATTTGTGTTATTTTTTAAAATTATTTTCCAACCTTGTACTCTTGGTTCCCCTTCATAAGCCTATAAATAAATAATTAAATAAAAACATTTTTACTCTTTACTTGTCGATTTTTAAGAATTCCACGTATAGGTGTAGCATCCAAATCAACATTATGTTGATCTCTTCTACTAGATCTACTATTAATATATTGTTGACCACCCCCTCCATTTGGCATTCCAGAATCGTGATAAGCAATATATGCATATTCGGGTAGTTGATTAGAATAACCCCCTCCACCTCCCCCTACTCCTCCACCAATTTCGGGTGTTGCATAACGAGAATTTCCACTTATTGGTTCTTAAATTTAAAGAAATATATTTCCTTTCCCTCTTTCCCACCAATTTGTTCCAATTCATCAGGCATATAAGCACCTCTTGAAAGTAAAGCCATGTGATCATTAGATTGTGAACGTGAAGCATAGGAAGAACGTCTTCCATCTGCATCTCTTAAAGCAGCTATTTTTCGTCTAAATCTTCCTTCCCCTCCTCTTGGGGGAGATTCTGGTTCAGGTAATGGCTGATTATGAGAATAATAATTTCCACTAATATATTCATTACAAGGAGTTACTAAACAAAAAACAATTAAAAATATATTTTTGATTGTTATTTACTAGGCCTTTCTGTTTCATAAATACTTCTACGTATTCCCCCTCCTCCTCCACCTCCATATTCTTCTGTACGAGGTCCTGAACGAAGACCGATTGATCCACCAGCATAAGAACTTAAAGGCCTTTCTCCTGGATAATAACAACTTCCTCCTGCAGACATTCTGTGTTGATACTGAGTTAAACTATTTTTAAATTTAATTATTTTATTTAAATTTTATTTTTTTAAACTCGTTTCTTCCAAATTCTGACGCTCTTTCAGCCATTGTTTTATAAACTTCAAATCTTTCAGGCCTTTCTTTAGCAATACCCCCATAATAATTTTGTTGTTGTTGATGTTGTTGTTGTGATGGCCAAATATTATTTGTTGCTGCTCTAGTAGAAGTTCCTCCACCCCCATATTGTTTATTAAAAGCATTATAAACCTCTTCTTCATATTTACTAATATTTGAAGGCATATAACTATTTCCAACCAAAGAATTAAAATATCCACCAGCAATTGCATATCTATCATAAGGAGTATCATCATTTGGGGGAGACATTTCATGAAAAGATTTTCGACGATCGAGATATGTCTTTAAATAAATAAAATGAAACAAAAATATAAAAATCAGGGATGTTTGTCTAAACAGTCGTTTTGCATTCATGGAAGACCCAGATCATGGAAGCCCAGGCCTCCTCGTTTACAGTAGATGAGCGGGGTTATTTTTCAAAAATTATTTATTTAAATTTGCCTGTCTCGAATAATTATTTTCATCATTTCTACCATAACCACTTCCATTTGATAATTTGCCAGAGCCCGTGCTATTTTTATGTCTTGGAGAACTTGGTTCACTTGGTTGTTCTTGTGAAGGAAATCTTTAAAAAATATTTAAATAAAAAATATTTTTAAATATTTGCCTAGTCCAAGTATCTTCTGTAACAGCAACAGTTGCATTTCTTGCCCTTCTTTCCCTATTTTTACGTCTAATATATGCAGCAGCACTTTCATAGCGGAGAGAAGGTTCTGGACTTTCTCTTTTAGGTGATTGTTGTTGTTGTGGAAGTTGTTGTTGAATATTTTGTGTTTTATTTATTGGTGATTGAGGTTGGGAATTTTGGGGTTTAACTTGCACAATTGGCGCTTCTTTTGGTATTCCTCCATCTTTTTTAAAATAAAATAATTATTTTCCAATTTAAATTTTATAATTATTAACCCGTTCCTGGATGAATTGTTCTAAATCCAATAATTGTTGAAGGTTTAGGTCTAAAGGGAATATCTTCTTCCTCTTCCTCTTCTTCCTCTTCATTATTTTCTTCTTCCTCCTCTTCCTCTTCAGGTTCGGCTTTTGGAGCAATTGCAGAACTACTACTATTTTCCGCAGACAAAGATTCAGCATCTGGATCATGACTTTTCATCCAAACTTTATTTCTTTTAAATTGTTCTTTTTTATCTTGATTTGGTAATTCAACAGAGTCGCTATATTGATATTTGCCTTTACTCTAGGAAGGAAAATATTTTTCTTTTAAAATTCTCTTTTCAAAATAACTCACAACTCTTTTAGCCAATCCTCTTTCTAAAGAATCTGTAGTTTTTGAAGTTGAAGGTCCAGGTTCTGGCATAACTGATTTTTCAACAATTTTTGGGGGAATATTTGGTTTAACTGTAGCTACTACCCCAACAATTTTTTTATTATTTTCATTATTTATTTTTGTTTTATTTTCTTTTTTATTTATTTCCTCTTTAATTTCCTCTCCAATAATCTGCTCAACTTCTTCTGCCAATTCATCTATTTCACCTTCAAATTCATCTTCCTCTTCAGCAGCATCATAAAATTCATCTTCATCTTCTAAATATTCCTCATCATCAATACCTCCCAAAGGCTCAGAACGGGAAATTCTGGCAGTCCCGACAAATTTAGGTGCTGACATTTGTGGAGGAGGGGGTATTGTTGCTTTAGGGGTGTTTGGAGTAGAATTATCATTTTGTTGTTGACCAATCTCCTCTGTAGATGAATCAGTAGAGAATCCAACCTTTTAATAAATATGTATTTAAGATATAAACATTTCTCCCATAAATATTTGTTAAAACAAAAAATGTTTCTAAAAGTTCCCCCTCCTAAGTATTCTCCCTCTAGTTCAAATATCTCTTAGTTCCAGTATACGCGGAATTTTAAAAAGTGTGGGGTGAAATATCGTAAATTCCCGCGCGGCCCAGTGTCGGATTATAATTATTCCATGCCCTCAAGTACACGGATTGAGCTGTCGAGAATCATGATTCCCGAGACGGAGGTTCCTGTAATTTACCTCAACACTATGCCAACGTCTTTCTTCTGCTGGACCTCTTCTTCTTTTACCAAAAGATTTTCTTTTTTCTTCAACAGTTTTTACTTCAATTTCTTCCTCTTCATTTTCTTTAATTATTTTATTATTTTTCTTTAAACTTCCAACTTTTTTAATTTCCTTTTCTTCCAAATTATTTTCAACATCCTTCGATTTTTGTTTTGTTATTTTGGAAGCTTTTCTTTGTATCTCGACTGGCTGGGCAGCAATTATTGTTTCTAATAATTCTTTAACTTCCGGCCTTTCATCATAAAATGGATGGGCACGAATATTTGCAATTAAATTAAGGGAAACTGGGCCTTTCTCCATTTGTTCTAATACCTTTAATTAAGAACTTTTGTTAAAGTTTATTTAAAATTAAATTACTTGATTCATTAAAGCATTTAGGCTGTCAGTTTCTAAACGCCAATATTTTGTTG